GTTCCCAGGTGCATCTTAATTACCCAATTAAGGGGCAAATTGTGGGAAATCATCCTGGTGTGTTCCCAGATGACATATTTCATTCTCCAAAATGTAATCTTAAAAACTTCTCTCCAAACCTTATGGAGAGGGCACTCTGAGCAATCCTAAACCCAACCAAGCTTGTCCAACCTGCCACCTTCATGCAACCCAACACAAACGTGCAAACTTTCTTAAAACATTATGAGAATGTGATTTTTTTTTTTAGTTCATCAATTAAGGTTAATGTATTTTATGTGTGGCCCAAGACAATTATTCTTCTTCGAACAACGTGGCCCAGGGAAGCCAAAAGACTGGACACCCCTGAACCGTGAAGGGTAAAAAATGCATGAGCTTTGAAGAGGAGGGTAAGAAAGTGGAGGAGTGTGGCCTCTGGAAAGAAGCCCCCAAGCTCTTCAATTTCGCTTTCAAGGTCTCCTATTAATCTACCCCAATTTCTCTTCAAAGGCTCTCTCTCTTTTTTTTTCCAAATTATCTCGATAATTTTACCCAAACTCTTATTTTCATCAAAAATTTAAAGCTGCCAACCTCTCTATTTTTCCCTAAATTCATTCCTTGATTTTACCCAGTTCTTTCTAAATCCTGTGAAAAGACTATCCCAAATCCTCCTGTTAATTTCACCCAGATTATTCCCTTGGAAGCCCCAAATTGACCTCTTGGTTCCCCCACTCATCATACTTTTGAATTTTCTGTAAAAATTCCTCAATCCCCCACGAACTTTCCACTCCCTCATCCCCATTGGATTCTCTCAGCCAAGTCCCTGCCTCCTCTGGCTCGCTAAAGCGTCTCCTCCGCCTGCGACCCCCCGAGACCCTTCCCGGCCCTCAGTAGTCACAGGTCTGCACTCTCAGCACGGGGCTCGGCAGGCTTAGCCTGCTGCCTGACGGCTCTTTGCTCTCTTGGCAGCCAACACTGGCCTTGAAGGCGGAGACTGCAGAACGGAGTTCAAATCTGGAGCTCTAGGAACTCCGTTCACTTACCCTCCACAGCGCCGCCATCTTGCAAGGGTTACGTAACCGGAAGGGGCAGGTCTTGTCACTCGCGTGGTTCAGCGCGAACTTAAGCTCCTCACGCCCCGCGTTTTCTAACCCTCTTCTTAAAGGTGCACGCACTTTTTACCCTCACAGGGTTTAGGGATTGCTCACAGCGCACTCTTCCTGAGCTTTAATACGGGACACCGGTCGGGCGCTGTGGCTCACGCACCTGTGAGCCCAGCACTTTATGGAAGCCGAGGCGGGAAGCATCGCTTGAAGTCAGGAGTTCAAGACCAGCTCGGGCAACATAGGGGAGCCCTTATCTCCACAAAAAAAGAGGGAAACCTTATCTCCACAAAAAATGAAATGTTAGCCGGGCATGGTGGTGCACGCCTGTGGTCCCAGCTACTCACGAGGTTGAGGCGGGAGGTCAAGGTTTGCAGTGAGCTGTGACTGCACCACTCCACTGCACTCCAGCCTGGGCGACAGACCGAGACGCTGACGACTCCGCAATCTTTCCCTAGAAGATGAGGTGTCCTTCCTGGCTGAGTACCTTTTTTTTCTGACTGCAATTGCAGTCTCCCCGAGCTTTCTTGTTCTTCCAGCTTCACTCACTACCTGCTTAAAACGGAATGAAGACCAGACGCGGTGGCTCATGCCTGTAATCCCAGCACTTTGGGAGGCGGAGGAGGGTGGATCACCTGAGATCCGTAGTTCGAGACCAGCCTGGCCAACATAGAGAAACCTCATCTCTACTAAAAATACAAAATTAGCTGGGCGTGGTGGCCCATGCCTGTAATCCCAGCTACTTGGGAGGCTGAGGCAGGAAAATCGCTTGAACCTGGGAGGCGGAGGTTGC